GGGGCACCCCTGAGAACTGTCTGTCCGGGGTGGGGGTCGGGACCCTTTAAACACAGCCCTTGGCTAGCCTGAGACAGCATCTCCACGGTCTAAGTCCTCCTCTGATGCCCTGCCGGCACTGCTTCCGGCCATCCTTAAGCCCGGTTCAGGGTCCTCTTAATGTGGACTTGCTAGTTCGAATTAGCAAAACGCTAATTCGAACTAGTTTTTTAGTCTGGATCCGTTAGTTCGAATTAGCTTAGTTCGAATTAACTAATTCGAACTAAGTTAGTTCGAATTAACGTTGTAGTGTAGACATACCCTGAGATTGATACCTCAGGGTGCACAGATCATAATGTGCTGAACAGATTCAGCAAAAGAGTCTCGTGTCCTAGTTCGAATTAGCAAAACGCTAATTCGAACTAGTTTTTTAGTCTGGATCCGTTAGTTCGAATTAGCTTAGTTCGAATTAACTAATTCGAACTAAGTTAGTTCGAATTAACGTTGTAGTGTAGACATACCCTGAGATTGATACCTCAGGGTGCACAGATCATAATGTGCTGAACAGATTCAGCAAAAGAGTCTCGTGTCATCATAGAAATATGCTGAAAACTGTTGGTTTGCTGTTGGGTCTGCGCATGTTTAGAGTACTATCTGTACTAGTATCTGTTCCTGGTAGGGACAAGGGATTTCTGTGTCACATCAAAAAGGAAATTCCCTCTGTCCTCTCCCACTGCAAGCAGTGGAAACAAACTCTGCAGTTCATTCATTCTCATGGGAGGCAATGTTCCTTTATTATCCTGCATAGAAGAGAAAAACCCTCAGGGCAGTAGACAATTTTTTTGTTCTTCACACTAATCTATTTTGAGCCTCTAAGAGCTGAGTCTGCTAAATTAAATGCCAGTGCAGGATACCTCTAGGAATCAGTCTGATTATTGTGTTGCAAGATGAGAGTGCATGAACTCTGTTTTGGAACTGGGATAGTACCTAAACTTAACTGTATTGCTGACAGATTAATTTCTCATTGACAGAAATGATTTAAGTAAACTAAGAATAGTTGCTTGTTTCTTGCTGAAAGGTAATTTTAAAATCCAAAACATTTATTGAGGTTTACTTACCTTACATAGCTGTTGTAAGCTTAATTAATTAATTAATTACGGCAACAAAGCACTAAGAGCCTTATGTAATGCACCATCCAGAATAATAAGCAATAGGAATACAACAATACTAAGTTCTGATACTGTACTTTTTATCTCAGAATGTCAAATAATTCACAAAGGAGCGTAAAGATAATTATTTGCATTTTGCATAAGAGGGAAAACTGAGAAGTTACAGCTCGCATTTTCAAAGATATCTATAAATTTGGGGTGTCCATCTTGATTTGTATGTCTCAGAATGGGTATCGTAAAACAATAGAGACCCAAAATTCGTAATCACATTTGAAAAATTAGACTTAAGTATAGGCCCAACTCCCAACTATCAGTCAGTGACAAAACTGAGACTAGAATCCAAGTAACCTGACTCCAATTCCAATGTCCCATCCATTGGACTCAACATGCTTTCCAATCTGAACCTATTATTCATTAATGCACAATTATATTAATGCTGCTTACCACTGAACACCATTTCATCCCAATCAAATACATGTAGTTATATTGTTTCTGCATTTAGAAAGGAAAACTATCAAAAGACACATTTTGAACAGAGTGTCTCATGAGAATCATATAGCATATTCAATTTCTCAGGTTAGGAAATAGAAAAATATATATGTACACCCACTAAATTTGTTTTGCTAAGAAACATTAATGCTTTCATCATGACAAATAATCAACAGAGCGCACGCCTTTCAAATTAAACAATAAAATGTGAACACCTTGGGTCAGCACTTGAGAGAGATAAGTGATTACTATCTAGAGACTGATGCGAATGGATGAAAGTTTGTACCAATTTGTTTGCATGTAACCAAAATTCTATCAGTTGAATGGACTGCATGTGTGTGCTACAACTGGTGTCAACAATAGCAACAAGAAGAGGTGAAGTGACCATTGTGGCCTGTCAATAGCTTCTTGATGGAAGGGAGTCTTAAACTATCACCAACATGAGACCCATCAAAACGAAAAGAGAGAGAGAGAGTAAAATCAAAGAATAAACAAGACAATTTGGGTTAGATTATGCCTAGCTTGGTATGTTTGCTAGGAAAAGGAGTGGTGGAGGAAAAGTGTGGGGACAGAGATAATAGAAAACAAGTCCACAGGAAAAGTTTCAACCAGGAAATGCTGATT